CTTACAACAACAAGAACACTACAAGAACCAAACTGTCAAGACAGCATTAAACTGAAGTCAAATAAAGAGTGCCCTCTATACATTTTCTAAGCAGGGTCAGGCATCCAATACATTTTGTACAGAAAACAATTAAAGAAAGCAATCAGGTATTCAAGATGGTGATCGTATTGTTTAGAAAGTCTGCTTTGGTTACAGTCCATTTGATGTCTAAAACCAGTGCTCTCTAATCAAGAAGTTTATGACTCTTACCCTTGACTGAACAGATTCCAGTTTGATCAGTTTTTCCTTTARCTCTGGAAACGTCGGTCTTTCTTCAGGATCCGTCTTCCAGCAGCTCATCATGATACCATAACTAAAAACAACACCAAATGCAAGATAATTTTAACTATTTTAGCTGAATTATGAAAAAGACTGAKTCGTRYGTTGAACATAACATCAGAAGTCACYAAGAAATGTAGAGTTTTTATCTTTCTTTGATGCGGTTTTTCATACTGATACAAGTAATAGTTATTTTATGGCTATTCAAATGTCCACTGTAGTCGCCCATGACACAGTATGGGGAGACCTACGTAGCACGCAGTTGATGTAATGTATTCATAAAATGTATTGTATTCCATTGTTTCTCGTTCTATTGTATTATGTGTTTTGTATTATATCTTTATGAATATATTACATCAACTGAGTGCTACGTAGATTCTCCCCAGAACACGGAATCCGACATAATTTTGACTCTGGAATCTGGAATCCAGACACTTAGTATTCGGAATAATCCGCGAGATTAGAAGCGGAATATTATAAAACAATAGCAATCCAGAATCCAAATAAGTGACTTCATTTGTTTCCTTGTAAACCGAGGACAAAAATAAGATAGGACGTTTTGCATTCTGAAACCAATTTGGTAGAATCTGGAATCCAGGAACRCTTAGTGATTCTGTGCCATGGGGAGAGYTGGACACAAGTCTGTACTCACAGTTCAGGRTCAACATGSCCAGGACGCGGCATTCTGTAACCACTGTCCAGACGCTCTGGAATTTCTTTGCCGTTTATCCCAGGATAAGGATCAACGCCTTCAAAGATAATATCACTATTTAAATAGGGTTTTCTACAGGAGGCATGGTTAAATGATATATGAAAAGTTCGTATCAGTCGTATATCTGGCTGAAACTTCTGTTGCTTGGCTGCACAACTGTTGTTACATTGCCCTCTCTAAGTTATCAGCTATACTACAGTAAAGTGTTTATTTTGGACGTTTTTTAATATGTATACCCAAGGAATATGTAACGAGTGTGTTTGTCAATCACAAGCGTGCGCTTTATCTCAACTGCCGATTATTCTTAAATTTCAGAGCCGGAAAGTGTGGGTATATATACATACCTATTGTGGATATCTCATACAGCACCACACCAAAGCTCCACCTTGAAAACAGAATCAAACGTTAGTCTTTTAATTAAAAAAAATAAAAATAAAAACACCAACCCATGATACTTACACATCGCTTTGAGTTGTGTACTCGCCATTTCCAGTCAAAGCTTCAATGGCCGTCCAYTTGACGGGAAGACGTCCCTATGTGAACATATAAAGCATTACTCTAGTGATACTCCTCTCCTTGCTATAACACGAAAAGGGGAATACTAATTTCATCTTATCATCGATTAAAATTTAACTGACTAACCTCCGTTGTCCTTAGGTAGATGTCATCATTACTCACATCTCTTGCCATACCAAAGTCTGTCACTTTGCARGAAAGACCATCGCCTACGAGAACATTGCGCGCTGCTAGATCACGATGGATGATCTGGAATATAATASAGACACATGATATGAGTAAACATTTGTTGAAAGCGTGATGTTYCAATCTTCAACAGGGCACTGGCGATTTCGTATCGGAGTAAAGAATACTCCATTTTACAGTTACAGGCGCCATCTTGAAAGGCAGCCGAGGCTTTGCATTAAAGCGAGACAGAAGTTGAGCTTGCAATGATAGACACCTGTGAATAATTGTCTTGGGTGTAAACAAAAGGTATCAATCACTGCGGGCTCAATTCCTGACTCACTTTGATTCAAAGGCTTGGTTATTTTTCAAGATGGCGCCTGGAACTGTAAAATGGAGTATTAAAACAGACGAGAGCAAAATATTGCACCTTCTCCGAGGCAAGATAAGCCATTCCATCAGCGACATGCCAAGCAAATCTTATAAGCTGTTGAGATGATAGATTTGTATTGGGTTTGATCTCGGGATCAGAGTAGTAATCATCTTCTTGTCCACGACTCTTACGCAGATAACCCAACAGATCTCCAAACGGAACGTATTCAATAATCACTAGTGGACGCCCTATGGGAAATAATAGTATGTATCAACTTTTCTCCTTTGCTTGGTTTCAATTTTTGTATTGACGCATCAATTAAAAGTTTGTGAAGACTCGTTAAATATCGCTTCGTTTAAACAGCTCAGAGTTAGAGTTAGAGTCAGAGTCAGAATCAGAGTTAGAGTTAGAGTCAGAGTTAGAGTTAGAGTTAGGTTAAAACTAGAGTTAGAGTTAGTGAACTCGAAACATCTCTAAACTGAATTTTCTACACCATTTTACAAATGTTTCTGGAACTTTATCAACAGATACAAGAGATGGAATAGCATTATATCAATCAACGTCAATCATTTTTTTATGTATAGTTGAGTTGTTTTGCATACCTTCGTCTTCGCCACATCCAAGWAGCTTAATCACGTGAGGGTGTGGCTTGAGTGTTTTCAGTAATTCAAATTCTTTCATCAGATCTCGAACTTCCGCATCAGTTGCATCAGCTTTAAGAKGATACAAAATATGAATCATACCTTTAAGTGGACTAACGAGAACTGATTATAAAACACATGACTTACCATACGGGCTTTTAATTGCAACTACATCCCAACCAACAGTATTCGATCCAGCACCATGGATACGACCTTTGTAGACAAGACCAAACGCACCGTTGCCAATAACCTAAAAATGATTAAAACAGCAAGAAAAGGAATTATTTCACTGATAAACCATCAAGGCAATCCATTATTTTTTGGACTGAGTTTGAATAGTACAGTTCTTATACCTTCATCACACATATCTTTTCTCTTGGAATGGTCCATGCAGGATCAAGCTGATATGAAGGAACTCCAACCATTGTTTGTTTCCGTGTTCGAGGTAGAGAACCCAGTAGCCTATCATTCGCCGACGTGGGGTCCCACGAGTTACCTTCAATACTCAATACACGGTCGTAGCTATCAATAAGATAAAAGTCAAAGTTAAGTGTTGATTGTCATCACCAGTAGTAAATAATGATGATTTACCTCAGATTTTGACGGTCTTTCCATTCGCTGTCTGATTAAAAGAAAAAGAAAGAAAGAAATAAGATTTTTTGACTCAGAATAAAACAATCGCAAACTTATCAAATATTTGTTTGTTGGTTGGTTTAGGCATATCGTTGATCTTGTTTCATCAACCAATAAGTTATTTTATTACCAAACTTTCGGGCCTTAGGCCCATCATCAGGGTTAATGGAGTCAACATATAAACAAGATCAATGATAATCGCAAACTTCTTTTCTCTGATAAATAAAAATTCATATCATAACAACGTTTGACATTGACATTWGCACGTTTCCRGAAATTTTTGAAATTACGTATTAACATTTGCGCTTACACGAAAATAAAGTATATGTTGAAAATTGCTTTCAAAAATATCAGAAATACAGAGTKATCGTCTTTGGTGATTTCATGTAAACTTTAAAAGCATAAAAAATACGTGCTTTCGAAAACATCCAGATATGTGGGAACCAACTCACCTTTTGATCGGTTTTTCTTTACTTTATAAGCAATCAACAGGATGACTACAGCAATGAGGGCAAGTAAAGCTATACATATTCCCACATAGACCATTATCTCTTGATTGTCGTTAGAGCCATCTTGTGCAGCTAAATTATCGTCAATGAATAATAGACCATACAATAAAAATTTGAAGGAAAATCAGTATTTAACGTAAGAATTAAATGATAATAACTATTAAAAAATTAATAAAATGGTAATTAAAAGAATAATTAAATTAATGGGAAAATGAATGAATAACTCAACAATTTAATGGGTGACTGGATGCATGGGATAAGGGAGGTAAGATGATAATAACTATTGCAATTACGTACCCGCTGCCACAGTCATTTGTTTGGACGTAGTTTTGGACGTAGGCGCTGCGGTTTGTTTGGACGTAGCAACCGTAGTCAAGGATGGATCTTAACATAAACAACATTACAGTCAATATGAATTGTGCCTATTACCCAACAATGACAACAAGTCGTCCAAGTGTTGGATACTATCTCTGCCCTTAAGCCTGCCCGGTTCTCAATGATAGTTATAACGGTAGTTAGCCCACAATAGACAGCACAAAATACTATCAGGAGTAAAGATTAAATGATATAGCTTTTTACTGGTGAGACTGAATCTCAATAGCAACTGTTTCCTGAAGCGTRTTATTTTTCTATATTTTCATTGCCTCGGGTTYTAAGAGTCAGWGAATGGCACACGTTTTACCTTTTCCAATAGTATAAATACACGAGTTRTCCAGGTTCAGCTTGCTCTCGCCGTATCTATTCCATGCTGTAATTGTAAACTCTACGATCGCTTCCCATTCTAAAGRAATCTTGACCCATGTTTTAGTATCACTGACATTAATGCTAGTCCAATTGTCACTATCTAGGTTTATGCGTTGTTTAACAGTGTAGGCAAGAACTGGTGCACCACCGTCATCTGCTGGAAAACTCCAACGAAATACTGCAACTCTGCTGTGACTACCTTGCTTTTCGCAGTCTACTTTGGGCGTACTTGGTGGACCTTTATAATAAGATATGAATATAGATTTGGATGTTACGTAACATGTTGTATTTAGTGATAAACTGGGCCGGAAAAGTTTCTAACTTACCAACTTCTTCGACCATAAACCATGCTTGATCCATACCAAGGGAGTTGCTAGCTTGACAAGTATAGTTGCCGTAGTAATGCTTGTTCCTTATGTCGATATTTATTACTGGCCCAGCGTATCGACGATTGGGTAGATTTTCACCATACCAYTGTATTTTTGCTGKTGGATTAGCAAGGGTGGGACACTTCARCTGTATTCGACTACCAATAACAGCATGTTTTACGGTGAACTTCTTTGTTGTATTGATGATGGGTGTATCTTAGAATTGAAACAAAACTATCATGTTGAATTTGAATTTGCGACAAATGTAGATGAATTCTCGATTAATTTCTGCGAGCGAAGCAAGTATTTGGACGACGTCTATTCAGAACACACACTGGAAAAAATCGCGCTCTTTAAAGGTTGTAAATTTGATGTAAATATTATGTAAGTGTCCAAAATGATGTAAATTTGATGTAAATTTACATCAAATTTAAGCATCAAATTTACATCAAATTTACATCATTTTGGACACTTACATAATATTCACATCAAATTTACAACCTTTTAACGATTTTTTCCAGTGTACACTTTAATTTCGGATTAGTATTTGATAAAACAACAACTTACATTGGACGTCCACATTTGCAGTCGACGACGTAGCATTTCCAACCTTATTTCCAGCAACACARTGATACGTCCCAGCATCCTCTTTGCGCGTATTGTTAACGATATAGTGGTCATTAAACTTTGCTTGAATCACATGACCGTCCTTGTACCACGTGATCATTGGCACTGGCTTTCCTGTTGTGGTACAAGTTAACACGAACGATTCGTGCTCCTTGACGGTTAAACTTTTTGGGTTTTCTTTAATGTTGGGAGGATCTGGATATCAAATATAAATGGTATTTTATGAAGTTTATTTAACAAATAACAAAACAATACTACTTTTTTTTTGTTTCAAGGTTCGAGTGCCTTTCCTCAAGTCCGAGAACAAACAAAAAACTGAAAGAGCAAGKCATATTTAAGGGAGATATCATTAGTGATTATTTTAAAATCATTACCTAAGACAATGACAGTAGTTTGATTCTCCATCGGTATCTGTGTCCCTTCCAGGCGAAGTGCGTAAGTTCCTTCATCATTAAGTTCAAGTTGGCTGATTTCAAAAGTCAAACTGTTGTATAAATCCATATATATGTTCTTGGCTTTCCCTTTTGAGCAATCTGACTTCATTGGTKTTACCTATTAGTTATAAAAATACTTATAAGATTATGCGATGTCTATGATATAAATTTATAATAGTAAGTGAATTCGCTAACAAAGCATATTCCCACGATTCATATTAGTAGTGACATTCTTACTTCAATATAGCATAACTCTTTGAAATTGCTCTGCTGATAAACACCAAATATCATCTTTGTTAAGAGTTTCTTGTCTTCATCATTAAGAGAGTATTTCCATGAAAAACGAGCTGTGTTACCGCGCAAGAGCGACAGTAAACCGGGACTGGAGGTAAAGATAGATGGAACCTAAAAATATGAAATAATGTTAAATTAAATAATTACAATATTTATTTTTGTTCTAGCCTAAAACAACAAACCGACCGACCGACCGACCGACCGACCGACCGACCGACCGAGCAACCAACCAAGCAACCGACCGATCGATCGACCGACCGACCAACATTCATACATACCTTCACGAAGAGCTTTGTGTAGTTGTAAATCGTTGTGTAGTCTTTGTCTTCAAATTCAAGCTAGAAATAGATGATATGATAGGCTCATATATAAATGTTATGTAGTTATAAGGTCGTTAGAGAAATTTTAAGACACTTAYTTAGGGACTGCGCAATATTTATTAGGCGGGGTTGAGAATCCAGAGGGGGGGAATCTTATTTTATGTGATTAAAGTTAAAGAGAGGGGGTGGAGGGGGGTAACGTCTAAAATTTACTTTAATTGGAAACTGAAAACTCAACGGTGTCAGATTCTGTGCTTTTTGGCCAAATACTTATTGAAGTAGAAAACTTCTAAAGAAAAACGTGCGACAGGGAGGGGTGGCAGAGCGTAATTGATTTCGTTTGCGAGGAGGTAGTAATTAACTTTTTTGAATTTATGGCTCATTTCTCAATCCTCAACCCCTCCTGATAAATATTTCGCAGTCCCTTAACTTCAATTTTAACTGTTTTTATTAATATTACTCATTCCCTTAAATCATAAAAAACATTGAGACCTTGTAATATAAATATATTCGTTTTTAAGAATTGAATTATCATTATCATTAAATTATTATTATTATCATTATTATGGCAATTCAATAAGATGTCCGTGTACATTAAGATTGTTGATGCTTTCAACAGAYTATCCACTAAAACGGCTGTCACAGGGACGAATAATTACGTACCTCTAACCCATAATATGTCTTGTCTTTGTACTGACTATTTGAAAGTTCAATGATAATTTTGTTGTTGGTCAAGTCACCAAACCATTTCAAGCGACCTTTGTAATCTTTGGTTTCCGCGTTTTCGAGAACTGTGATGTTGAGACCACTGTTTGTCTTGTCGATTGTCAAAAGATGAGTTGAAACTAATTCTAATCTTGTTTCATATAAGCCAAACGCGCCCCGAAAAAGCGAATGATTGGAAAACATCCATGTKAAATTCACACTTTGTCCTCGATAAACTTCTGTTGAGTGCTTCTGGCTGAATGTGAAGTGCGGCGTGTTGCCACTACATTGCGCTGAAAGTACACATTATAAAAAGAACGCAATAAGCAAATGTCCTTCTTGGGAAACTTAGAATTGGTGATTCTTCTTGCAAATAAAACACTGATGTTTTATTCACCAGTATTGTATCAAATGTTAAATACGACCTTCCTTGTTGTGAATCGGCTTTCGACACTTTAGTGCAGCTTTTGTTAACTTTCAAACATCAATCAAGTTTACATCGAGGCAAAGATTCATTTTCCTTGATCTCATTTTTTAATGATGAGATGAGAATACCTGTTGCTTCATTTCGAGGTCATTACTTTGTTTTGAATGACGGTATACGGTGATTTTAATGGTCAAATAGAGTTACATTTTTTTTTTCAATGACGGTATACGGTGATTTTAATGGTCAAATAGAGTTACATTATTTTTTTTTTGAATGACGGTATACGGTGATTTTAATGGTCAAATAGAGTCACATACTTTTTTTTGAATGACGGTATACGGTGTTATTAATGGTCAAATAGAGTCACGCATCTTTATTTCTATACTGACTAGCTTTCAAGCTGTTTTTCATTTGCTCATGCACAACCGACACCTAAATCTGCAAAACCTTTGAAACACTCTTGAAATATTTAACACGTATGGTACTTCTTCAGGTTTTTATGTTTCGTTGCATTGAGAATTGTTAGCAACATGTGCACTGTAATGTTAGAGACGAGATATATTGGTCATACTTCAGCAGTCTTTGTTGTTTCATAATCAATTGTTTTCAYTTCATCAATATCTACGCAATGCTTTGAAAAGCAGCATTTAACCTTTGATTATTTTTTGAAATGGAATTTTTGGATGCAGTTTACATCTACTCTGAAAAAGACTTCGATTGTAWGAATTACTCTTCGACATGCAATAATCGAAAGATTAATAATATGCGCAATTTGTTATAGTTTTGACCTTTTTTATTGCAATTTTAGTTTAAGAATCTTTGTCGTCTTTTTTTTACATTCTTTAGCTTTTTATCATTATAACTTGACTTACCTTGCAATGCAAGAAAGATTAAACAGAAAAAGATTCCCATACTTCGCATGAATGTTGATGCATTTGAAAGAGCTTTGTCGTCTCTAAAACATAAGAACCTTTATCAAAGGGCTGAAACGCTTACGCCCTAACCTAGGGTAGTGACGGGGGCAGTTTAGACGGCCTATTGTAACAAACTGAAACATTTTGTATTCATGTTACTTTCTTGTTATCTCGAAAATGAATAATTATGCACAAAAAACSTTTGAAAAAACTTCCTTTTGGTGCTCAAATTTACATTTCATGCGAAGAAATTACAGAACAAGTGTTTTGGACAGTATTTGCACAAGCGAAAAACAATTCACTTCGGTCTACGTGCGTAAACTTAGTCATGACATGGTACCAGGATTGGTAACGACCTTCCCTTGTGGTCGAAGTGTTATTCAAAACAATACCAAGGTCAAACGCACACACAATTATATTCAATTGCCTTTACGCAATGGCTAAATAACGTCATCGAGAAGTGGGTGTAAAAAAATGGAAGAAAAAGAAATAAAACCAGTTCGTACAGTAATATCGCGTTCTATATGTTCATCCTGTGACAACTCTTTTCAGTTTGTTACATTCTTATTCAAATAAAGACCAAGGAAAGCTGAATGACGCTTTTTGTCTTCTTATTAACTGCTGTTTCTAAATTCTATCTTCCTGATGCATTTTTAAAATTCATTTTCGATTTGGAAACGKATTTTCTAATACGCTTAGRCCGRAATTGCAAGTARGTTGTCATACACGGAAAAGGAATGTCAATGCTTTASTGACAAAGAATTGATTCAGCAAGAAAAGAGAAAGCACAATCTTGACTGATCTAATCTTATATCATATAACACTTGCAAGAAGGTATATTTACATAATATATCTATACTTTCGGCATGGTTTGAGKAGTGGGGTGTGGGGACGCCCTGGAGGTCCGACCCGACTGGGAAAAGAGAAAAATAAGAAACAGCTTTCGATAGAGACTTGAAAAATAAWGGGAATCCTTTCTACCACATAGGAAGTTACAGTAATTCAACAACGAACAATAATTAAAAAAAAGCATTTATTATATATTACTCAGCTTCGAATTAATACACAGATCAATGTTATTATCCTACCTATTCATTCTAATGATTGGAAAAAATGATTTTGATACATCGATGCAATAGCCATTAAACACGGGTAACACCGTCACATCAGATCGAGACTTAAAAAGATCGGCGCTTGAGACAAGTAAAAGTAAAGACAAACAGTCAATAAAAGATGGCTATTTAATGTCATTAAAATATTTCTCTTAAAGTCAAGAAAGCATACAGTGAAACCTCTAAAGTTATGAGAAAAGATAAATGCGTTAGAGAAAGTCTCACTGTACTTGATCAAATGTTATYATTAATATTGTTTAGATACAAATTCCAGTGATTATATCAAAGCGAATTCCCGTGAAATGATTGCGTTGAACTAATTTTTTGTAAGCCGTGAATAAATAAACAAAATATACAGCTGAATCGAAACATGGAAACCACAAGGACAATGAGGGAGGGGTGGGACGGTGGTTTCCGTGCCTACGTCATATTAAGCCAATTCGACTAGCCTCCTTTGCAGACGTTATTAGTATCGGTCGGGCGACTCGATTACCAGCAATAACCTWAATACATAAAGCTTTTGATTTCTAAAATGGMGGACCGCTTTTKACACAAATGCGCYRYYAKMARWWA